CATTGAGAGAGGGCAACTTTTCCTGCGATGTGAACACTCAACATCCACCGTGGGATGGTTTTATTTCCTGTAGTCCACCTTTCCACCAGTGTGTGTCACTGATATCCTTTTAATGAAGGATGATTTTGTACATTGCAAATATTCACAGCTGGTCTTCCATTATTAATAATAATAACAATAATAATCCTTGCATTTGATACTGCGCCTTATCACATCTTCCAGACGTCTCAAAGCGCTTCACAGAATATATTGTAAAGTGAATTGACTGCATATTGTATGGATGAAACGCGGCAGCCAATTGCGCACAGCAGCGTCCCACAAACAGTGGTGGATAAAGTGACCAATTTATTATTGTTTTGTTTTCTTGAGGGATTATTATCAGGCGCGGGGAGTAAGGAAACCTGCCCCTGCCGGGAATCGAACCCAGCTCTCTCGCTTGCCAGGCGAGAGCTCTAACTGTAGGGAGCTGTAGGGCTCCTGTAACTGACTGTTGACTGGCACAAGTCCCATGGCTTCCCGCAGTCCTTATGTCAGCCAGGTTACTGTGCCCGTGCACAATGGGAACCGGTCTCGCTCCGCAATCCGGAACAAGGCAGGGCGTGTCCGGACATGTACACTTTCCTTCATTTGTGATGTGTGTCCCAGGCGTGTGTCGTGTACATGCCTGTGCATGCTCGGTGGTGATTAGATTTTTGAAGCGAGCCAATGGAACCAGTGCGCAAAAAAAACCCAACAGATTTGGGTCTGTGTCATTTTATGACGGGTCTCTCATCCCCTTCACTCCTGTGAAGAGATGATGGACGCAGGGATTGAGGAGAAAGCAGGGCAGCGGGATTGAATGGGCAGTTTGCTCTCAGAGCCAATGCAGACTCGAGTAGACCGAATGGCCTCCTTCTGTGCTGTAAACTTCTATGAACTTGATGAGACCTTAAATTGTTCCAGCACTGTAGAGTCCATGATGTTACAGCTTTGACAGAAACTTTGCTTCAGTCTGGGAATGAAACATAGCTGGCTACAGAAAAAGCAGAGAGATTATGATTTTTTTTATCCCTATACTTTTATTTGTGTGTTATCATCGAGGATCGAATTCAAGGTCCTCATCCTCACCTACAAGGCCATTCACGGCCTCGCTCCCTCCTCCCTCTCCAACCTGCTATCCCCCTACCTACCCGCCCGTACCCTCCGTTCCTCTGGCTCCGGTCTGCTCCACGTCCCCCGCCCCAACCGCCCCACCATCGGTGGCCTTCAGCCTCTCAGCCCCGAGGCTCTGGAACTTTATCCCCAGTGCCTTCGCCGCTTCCTCCCTTTCCTCCTTCAAGGCCGGTCTCAAGACCTTTCTCTTTGATCGTGCCTTCAGCTCCCCTCTCGACTCTCTACCCTCTCCTCGCTCCCGCCCTTTCCACCCCTCACCCTGACCATTTCCCCCCTCCTCGCTCCCTCCCTCCCCTCACCCTGACCATTTCCCCCCTCCTCGCTCCCTCCCTCCCCTCACCCTGACCATTTCCCCCCTCCTCGCTCCCTCCCTCCCTTCCCCCTGACCATTTCCCCAATGCTCGGCTCCTGACCCAACTGTCCAGCGCCTTGGGACGTCCTCCCGACGCGAAAGGAGCTCTATAAATGGAATGTTGTTGTCGTTGTTGTTATACATTGAGTCTTTTTAAATCTTAAGATTACAGTACATTTATAATATACCGCTTATCTTCTCAGCTTTACTTTCTCCTTATGTTGTTATTCTAAGCATTTCTGTGTGTGGTTTATTCCTCACTCACGCTGCTGTGTCTCTTATTCAGTGCTTCTTTCAATCCCCTCAGTTTGGAACCTGTTAAAAGCACTCAACAGTGTGTGGAAGCCTTAAACAGTTTTCAATAGGACCTCAGTCAGGTTTACAGGACTGGCTGGAGGGACAATGCTACCATTTTTGTCTGAAGAGCCCACTTATTAACTAAAAGGGAATTACTGAAACCTTCAGCTCCATTTTTTGTTTTCTCGATTTTGTTCTCAAATCCACAGATCAGCAGTGCACACGTCAAATACAACACAGGTTCCCCAGGAGATTGTCTGCTTTCTCCAAAAGTCTTATGAGTATTGGAAATCCCATAGTTCCCATGAAATGTGGAAGTCTCTTCAGTCAGGAGTACTGTTCGTGTGTCACATACACACAATTAATAATCTCTTACATTTGTTGCTTTCACTGTTGGAATGAGCATTTATAATTCAGCTGTGACCATACCTGCATTCTTCTCTCTGCTTCTCATTTTCTTAAATGAGGACATATATTTTCTCCCTCTGTGACATAATATCTCCAGCTGAGATAGTTGGATTGAAGATTTGTTTCCAGCTCTTTCTCAACGCGACTCTAAACTTGTTTAGAGCTGTATTTCAGTCATTTAGGTCAGTTGTTAGCTTTAGTTCTTCCAGATCTCTTAGTGTCCTGAAGAGTAAAGGGCAAGTTTAGGACAAACATCAGAAAGTAAGGAATAATTTGATATTATTTGATATAGCGCCTTATCACGTCTTCGAGACGTCTCAAAGTGCTTCAATTAATGTACTGTAAAGTGAATTGACTGTATATTTTGTGGGTGAAACACAGCAGCCAATTGCACACAGCAGCGTCCCTCAAACAGTTGTGGATTGAGTGACCAAATTATTATTTTTTAAATTAAATTTTTTGTTTTGTAGGGTTTATTACCCCCGGAAAAGCGATCTGCCAATTGACCAACAACCGTGTTCCTACTTACGGTAGGAACCCAGGTCCTCTCGCTTGTGAGGCGAATGCTCTAACCACTAAGATATAGGATTCTAAAGTACCTTTACACAGAGGCTAATCAACAACTGCTACCAGGAATAGTGGTTGTTTTAGTGATGGTAGATTGGAATTGTAGCACGATAAGATGAACCGCTTTTATGATCGTTTGACAGATAACGTTCGCCCACAAATATACAGTCAATTCACTTTACAGTGTGTGTTCTGTGAAGTGCTTTGGGATGTCCTCCCGACGTGAAAAGTGCTATATCAAATGCAAGGCTTATTATTATTATTATAACTGATGGTGGCATGCAAATTATTAAATCACCTGCTACATTAGGAAAATGTTTCTGTGCTACCTCAGATTAGTGCGTGTGTGTGGGAGCAGCTAAGACAGTTTCCACATATGAGATGTACTAAAATTCAGAAGACGCCAGCTGTATTTAAACATTTCTACCACATTACACACAGCTTTACCGCTCACTCATTGGTATCTCAGATCCTAGTGTGATTTGGCCTGTTAGTTTTTATTACATTGAACAGACTCTCACCTCTTTACCAACGGGCAAAGATAGTGCCAGCGAGGTTTGGAGTTTTAACTTTTATTACACAGCACAGATTTTAGTTCTTAACAGACAGCGTCTCCACTGGCTTATCAGCTAAAACAGGAGTTTATATGACATAGAACAGATACTCCTGTAGGTTCAGTACCTTGGTTAAACATTCTGGCACCAATGAGGGGATTTAGGGATTTAGACCTCAAACTGCATTAAATTCCGTTAACAGTCAAGTTCTCCATTTACATTGGTGACAATTTTGTTCAGTGTTGACTGAATAATAGTATTGCTGACCGCTAACAAGAGAGATTGTGTAACTTCACCTCCTCCCCCACCACATAAAACTACATCACAATATACCTTCTCCCAAAATGTGGCAGGAGAATTATTTTCAGGTTATAGTAAACTACCTCAATGATCCTGTTTGAGCTATCTATGGATTTCTTTGACTGTTCAGACGCTGTGTGGCAATAGAATCCTTAGGAATATGAGAATTGACTTGCAAACCCAAACCTCTTAATTGGGGACTGTGCTGAGGTTGGTGGTTGTAGAAAATGGCCTCAAAATAATGTTGTAAATTAACATACTTCCTGTAGGCAGGTGAAGCAAAAGTCCTGTAGCTCAGTGGTTAGAGCGCTCGCCTCACCTGGGTTTTATTCCCGGGCAGGGTGAAATGTTGGGCAGGTTTCCTTATTCTGTTTGCCCAGCAGTAAGTCGGAACCCGTTTGTTAGTCGATTGGTGGATCACTTTTCTGGGGGTAATAATCCCTTAAAATAATAATAATAATAATTTGGTGACTCAACCACTGTTTGTTCCCCTGTTTGTGGAACTCTGCTGTGCCCAAAAAATATAGAGTCCAGTATATTCTGTGAAGCGCTTTGAGAGGTCTGGATGACGTGATAAGGCAAGGATTATTTATTATAAGCAAGACCATTACTTGATGCAGAGAAAAGTAATCACTGTCCCAAAGTGAAGAGCTGATGTTGGGAGATTAGACAGACCTCTCTAAGACCTTTATCAGGAGCATCATTCTCAGACACCGTGACTCCTTGTTGACTTTAGCAAACGCTATTGATCTCTCTATAGCACTGATTTCAGCGGTGTGAAAGACACATTAGAAAAACATAGAGTGTTTACTTTCAGTCTGGATGGATAACTTTGATAACATTGATCCCTTGGATATTCTATTACAAGACACAAATAAAGCAAATATTATATTTTAATAATCATTTACAGGAACAGATACAATTTGAATCTATTTTTCCTTGATACATTTCCCAGCACCAATAATGTATTTATTTGGAATATTGTATTCCAAAATATACTGCACAAGCAAAGCGTTGATTTTAATATATTTTTTAAGAAAAATATTTTGGTGAATATTTGCACCTATTAAACTAAGGCATGCATATCAACGGGAATAGAATAGTTTCTTTTGCTTTTGTCACTAAATAGCAAAGCCACATACTCCCAGGTGGAGTACAGCACAGCCCACATACTAAATCTCACCAATGTGCCTTAACCCCAATCTCAGAACAGCCTTCTACTGAACCAATGTGAA